AATTTTAAAATAAAAAAGCTGTGGGGTCACACTCTAAAAAAAGAGAAAAGAATGGGATATAAATAGATTTTAACAGTCTACAAATATTTATACTGTCAGTCAAGCATTTATTAAGTACTTAGGAATGTGCCAGCTATCATGCTAGGAGAGACAAAGAAAGGCAAACATATGGGCCTTGGACTCTAGGAAATCACATTCTCAGTGCTGGAAACTCTATGACCAAGTCTATGCAGATACAAGGGTTTGGGTAAATCTGTCAGAGACAGCTAAACCAGGTTGAGGGTGACTGACAAGTTTCAAACCTGTCAGTGAGTTAGTGAATGTGACCCAAAGGATGTGAAGACTTCTTCCTGGGGAGTGGGCAGATGAGAATAATTTGGTATGCAGGTGGCTGAAGCAGACCCTGTGGGGCACTTAGAGCTTGGTCAGACATGGAAGATGCCATGATCATCCACTGTATCCCAGGCTATCATGAGTCATCCTGACTTTTGTCCTGCCACTGGACTTCAATGACTCTGGAAAAGAGGGTGAATCTGACAACTTTGTGTAACTCTGCCTCACTTAAATCCAATTTACATGCAAGTCAAGACAGCTCCCTGTCATATCTTCGGTCCTCTTCAAAAACAAACAACTATTCAATTCTTAAAGAGTATCATTTGACATTTTTGGGTATGATTTTTATCACTTTTTCTTTGTTGAACCTTTGAGGGGACAGATTTTGGACTTAATTTGAAATTATTTTTCCAATAAACTAATATTTAATAGACTTTTTAAAAACCTAAAGCTTCTATTTAGTATTTATTGGGTATTGTTCAGAAATGTTTATTGATAATTTTTTTCAAAATAGGAAAAAGAAACACTTATTTCCTGTCTGAATTTTGAGAAGTTTCATCTACTAATGATAAAGAGCTAGAGATGTCTGTTCTGCCTCCCTTATAGCTCCACACAACTACAGCCCCTTGCCACATCATTTTAATACTCTTCTCTAATGGCTCCAACTATTATCACAATCTCAACATCCCTCCCCTGACAAGCCAATCATTGGAATTTGCAACCTCGTCATTTCTCTTCTTTAATCATATCCTAACCAACTTTCTTGACTCAGATGCACAATTTTACTGGGAAGCCTTCCCTAATGAATATTTGCTGAATGAATGAATTTATGAATGTATAACTTTAGCTAGCAACTAGGTAGGACAGTGAATAGAGCACCAGGCCTGGAGTTAGGAAGACTCGAGTTCAAATGGCCTCAGACCCTGGGCAAGTCACTTAACCCTGTTTGCCTCAGTTTTCTCATCTGTACAATGAACTGGAGAAGGACATGGCAAACCAATCCAGCATCTTTGCCAAGTAATCCCTGTATGGGTTCACAAAGAGTTGGACATGACTGAAAAATGACTGAACAGTAACAAAAACTTTAGTTGATACTCTCTCTCCCTTCAAGTCCCTTTGCACTAGTTTTCTATACTACATAATTAACTATATAGTGTCTTATTGTTACACATGTTTATCTTGTCACTTCAGATACTTCAATCCATGCTTCAACCAACAAATATTTGTTGAACAACTCCTATATGCACAGTATCCCTTTCCTCAGAGTTATTAGTCTTTAGTTTGGAAGATTACACACAAATACAAGTAAAAATCAAATCAGAATTAAATAACATCACATAAAATCAAGCCATGTTACAAGGCTGAGCATAACTGATTAAACACCTGATGGACAGGGTTGCTTAATTTTACCCATGCCCCTCAGCATGTGAGTTTGTGGTAAACTCACAAATAACTACACCCTTGGCTGATCAAAATCTTCTGAATTATCTTTTAAATACACACAAGACAGTCTACAAGCAGTTGCTATGCTTACCATGTGCCAGAAAACTCAATTACTGGGTATTCAAAGAAAGGGACAAACAGTTCCTGCCCTGAAAGAGTTTCAGATCCAATTTCTATCCGTATCCCTGGGTAACCAATGTTCCCAAGTATAATCAATATTTTGAGTTTTACCTACATGTAACAAGATCCCATTTGGTAAACATTTTAATAGGATTTAAAGAAAATTGAGCATTGCTTTAGAGCAGGGGATAAACCACGCATTTTGCAATTTATGTTAAAATATTACAGTATTTGGAATGAGTAAGGGAAGAATTTATAGGGCATTTATTTTTAAGTATGAAGGGAAAGTGAATAGAAAGCCAGTCAGCAAGACAGGAGTTCAAGGTTTGCCTCTTACTCGTACCAGCTGTGTGGCCTGGGGTGAGGCACTTCTCAATGACTTAGCAACTCTTCTAGAATATAAATTACAGAGAAGGATCCAACTCGAATTGGTAGGAGTTTCCTCCTCTGTGAGTTCACTGTGGCAATGAGATCACAGGTCCAGCCCCTATCTTTATATTTAAGTATGGAATGAATCCATTATTTTCAAACTGATAATATTTTGTGAAGGAAGGAAAAAAGGTGATTAAAACTTCTTCAAAAGGAAAAAAAATGTGTTGGTGAAAAAATCAAAATCAAAACCATTGTGTGACACCAATGTGGAGACAAGGCATTTCTCAGCATTTATTCAAACACAAATAAAAACTGCTACCTTATTTCTAGATGAAGTGTAATTCAGGGAGAGAAAGAAAGCTTGTGACAGTTTTGTCATTAAGCATGTACAATGGTTTTGCCAAACTACTGACATCGGTTTTAATAATGCACATCAAAATGATAGCAAATATTGCCAAAGACAATGTAGACCAGAGCAATTTTATATAAAGTTCAGGAATCTCATCACCAAATCTGGTCAAGGCAAAAATGTGGTTTTATAAGAAAAATCAATCATCTCTGCTTATATCTCTGTATTACAGAGCAATGATTGATTAGCTGTGGGAAGGGGGAAAGTAAAAACCAGCTGCAAAGTTGGGGAAGGTATGGAGATGGTCTAAATCTATTTGCACATCAGAAATAACATAAAAAATCGTAACCCTTACGTATATCTGTAACAGAATGCTGCATTTCTAATTATGGTTCAAGCTCAGTTAATCAAGTAGTCAAAAAGCATTTCTTAAGTGGCTACAAAGCAGCTACAAAGAAAGGGGGGGGAAAGGCAAAAAACAATAATCTCTGCCCTCAAGGACTGTACATTCCAATGGAGGGCAACAATGTATAAACAACTAGGTACATATAAGAAATATAGGGTACCTACATGGCACAATGGATAGCATGCTGGATTTAGAGTCAAGTACTCGCTGTGTGATCCTGGGCAAGTCCCTTAACCCTGTTTGCCTCAGTTTACTCACCATAAAATGAGCTGGAGCAGGAAATGGTAAACCACTACAGCATCTTTGCCAAGAAAACCCCAAATAGGGTCATGAAGAGTCAGACCCGACTGAAATGACTGACCAAAAACAAATATAAGATACAGAGAGAGTAGATGAAGGCAACCTCAGGAGGAAGGCATTAGCAGCTGAGGCTTGGGACAAAGTGGGAATGAGAAGGGCTTCTGACAAAAGGTGAGATTTGAACAGTTTTTAGAGGAAGCCATAGAAACTAAAAACCAGAGGTGATGGGGCAGAATGTTCCAGGCATAGAGCCAGTGCAAAAGAATGAATACGGTGATGAACGCTGGAAAGGTTAGATTATGAAGATCTTTAAATGTCAAACAGACTACTGGAACTCACTGAGCAGGAGAATCTTAGCTTTAGAAAAATTGACTTGGCATTTGAGTAGAGAATGGATTAGAGTGGTGGGGAGGGACCTAAGGCAGGGAGACCCAACAAGTCTACTGTCAAAGTTCAAATGAGAGAGGCTCTACTAGAGAGGCAGGTATGGGAACAGACAAAAGGGGACATGGAAGGGATGTTGTGAAGCTAGAAATGGCAAGATCTGGCAATACATGCATGGTCAAACAATGAAGAATCCAGGATGACAGCAAGGTTTCCCACCTAGTCTGGTTGGGAGAAAAATAATGCCTTCTACAGTAATAGAGAACTTCTGAAAGGGGTAAAGATCATGAATTCTGTTTTGGAAGTATGGAGTTTGAGATGATTACTGGACATTCAGTCAGTATTCACTGAGAAATGTTGAAGAGGCAGTGAAATTTTTAACTTTTTTTTTTCAGTAAACAATTTCTCTCCAACTTGTTCCCTTAGCCATTAAGATACCTAAATTTAAGTGCTCAGTTAATTTTTTAAACTTAAAATAAATTTTAAAAATTAATTTAAAATTTAAATGAATTACAGATTCAGTTAAATATTCACTATAAAATTTTTATGTAGCATTTGAATATTATTTATGTAACTATATTTATATAAATCATATTTTATGTAAATGTTTTACATATATAAAATTATTTTAAATATAAACCATTTAATTATATTCAAAATAACATTCATGTATGTGTAAAACATTTATATAAAATGATTTATATAAATATATTTACACAAATAATATACATTCAAGTGATATATTATATAAACATTTTATATTTTTAGTTAAAGTTTTTAAAAATTTAAAATTTAAATTGTGAGGATCCATTCCTTGAAGGGAAGATTCAATTAGGGTGTTCTGCAAGTCTTCTAATCCCAGCTTGCTCCACTCTTTTCTTTAAATATATTTATAAAAAGTAAAATAAATATATTTGTATGAAATGTATTTATACAAAATAACATATAAAACAAAATATATTTACATAAAATTGAACTATTTATATAAAATTTAGAAACATTTATATAAAATAGGCATGTTTATATAAATACATTTTATTAAATATACACATATAAGTTAAATTTATTTAAAACTTTAAAAATTGAAATTGTAGAGGTTCACGTCTTCAAGGGAAGATTCTGAATGTTTTGAAAATCCTCTCAACTCACCCTGCTTGGCTCTTTAAATTTATTTGTATAAAATTACATATATATATATTATATATATATATATATGTGCATAAGTAGTTATATGAAATATTCACATACTATATGAATATATTTTTGCATTTTAATTTTTATTTAAATTGTGGGAGTCTACCCCTACGAGTGAAGGAAGGCTCAGTCTAGGGGCTGGGCGGGTCGTCCAATCCCAGCCTCGCTGGGCTCTTTTCCCCCTGGGGCCCGCTCTAGGAAGGTGGCGCTGTGGCTTCCCAGAGACCTTTGAGCTCCTCAGCGGCCGTGCACAAGTACAGCGAGCCTCACCCCTCTTCCTTTCCTCCCGCCCACCACGGGCGCCTCAGAGGCTGCGCGCGCACCTTTCCAGACGCGACCAGACGCGGGAAAAGGGAAAGCTCGGAGGCTGCGAGGCACTCGCCGCACGCGTCACGCTCGCGCTCCCCTTCCTGCCCTGGGCGCGAGCCAGGGAGCAGCGGTTCTCTCGGCTGTTGTGGGGACTCCAACCGCTAACGGCCCTGCGGCGGAAGCGGCACTAGCAGCCTCGGAGGAGGGGGGCCCGTTGTGAATCCTCGAACTAACGCGGCCGGCGCCCACCCGCCCTCGGCCTCTCCCTCCCCTCTCCTTTCCCGCAGACTTCGGCTCGGTGCCTGCCCCCTCCCCGGGTGGGGAGAAGAAGTAGAAGTAGGAGTAGGAGAGAAAGGAAAGAAAAAAAAGGATGCTGCAAGCGTTTATCGGGGTGCTCTTGGGGAAGGCGAAGGCGTACGTACGCACCAAGGAGTTCCGGCAGTACGTGAAGAGCACGCACTTCTGGGGCCCAGTGGCCAACTGGGGCCTGCCGCTGGCCGCCTTCAAGGACATGAGGGCGTCGCCCGAGATCATCAGCGGCCGCATGACGCTGGCGCTCATCCTCTACTCGCTGGCCTTCATGCGCTTCGCCTACCGCGTGCAGCCCCGCAACTGGCTGCTGCTGTCGTGCCACGGCACCAACGTGCTGGCGCAGAGCCTGCAGGCGCGGCGCTACGTGCAGTACCATCGTGGCGAGTCCCCGCCGCCCGAGTGCGCCTGCTCGCCGCTGCCGCCCGCGTAGGCCGCCCGTGGGCGCCGGGGCCGAGGGGCCCGCCTGCCCAGGGAATGGATTTGTTTTTGACGGCCAGAGCCTTGAACCTCGTCTCGTCTTGCATTATCACAACCCCCACCCCTCCTTTAAAAAAAATCTATTATTTTTTAAACTGGAAAAAGAAAGATTAGATATTTGTGTGAGACTGACCTTTCAAAACAACCCTCTTCTAAAAAAAAAAACCAACCCAAATTCGTTCCTGAGAATCTCTTGGGTTTCCCCGGGAGACTTATTCTTCCATTCTCAGTCCGTAGTTATTAATTATTAGTTAATTAAAAAGAAAAAAGAAACGCTGAAGTCGAATCGTGGTTATTTTCATAGTCTGAAGACGTTATCGTCATCATCGTTATTATCATCGTCATTGTCACTATCCTTGTTTCTTATAAAGAGGACACTCTCCCCGCACAGGAAGTTGGCAAAGATGATGACAACAGGTAACACGATTTTAAAGATTTGGGGTTAGAAAGATTAGCTTTTGGATGGTTTCCTGAAAGGATACTAGAACTAGATAGGGCGGGGAACCTGGATGCGTCTTAATTTTCATTACTTGAAATGGAGACTTAGCTTCGTTTATGGAAGTAGGTAAATGTTTTGGAAAGAGAGCCGTAGGCTTCATCAGAGTGACTAAAAGGAGAGGGAAAGGGAACCGTGACACAAAAGAGGGTTAGAAAAATATTCACACTCTTTAAAAAAAAATTACTGTTATGAGATTAGACTTTAGAACTGGATATGAACTTAACGATCAGCTCAACTCGTAACAGTGCCGCCCCCCAAATCCGCCGTACACCCTGATGGAATTAACAGCATCTTTTTCAATACTAGAACCTGGGCATAGGCACAGACACTTTCACAGAAGCCTACAAAACCAGTTATTTTTTTCTACTGGGGGCAGAACATGAGCTCAAAAAAAAAATGCACCCAGAGAAAATTTAATGTTAAAATACTTTAATGCATTGTTTCTCAAACTATTGCAAGGAACCTTCAAACACCCTAGTTTTTTTTTAAATGAAACTTCGTTAATAACAAATATTAAAAGTAATGATTTTAAAGGATTTTACTGCAAGGGTTCTGCCAATGTTTTGTTTAAGCCGAAGATTTAAACCCACTGTGGAAAATTCTGAGAAACACTGCTTTAACGTAAGAGGACCCTGAAATGCTTTACCCAGGGGATCTACACACCATTGAGAATGGTTTCAGTCAGTCCTCCTTCCAAGAGAGTAAACAGATGGCTAAAGCGAACTAGTACTCTTTTTTGTTTAGGAGAGCAGTTGGCAGTTGACAGAATGTGGTTAAATTTAGTCCTGCTTGAAGGTAGATGAATTGTGGTCGGCAACCCTTTGTCCTTAGTGATGTTGGTATGTGGGCAGCTTGGGAATACTGTTATAGATCTCTCATAAAAAAAACCCTTTTTTGCTTACTAGTTTTTTCTCAAGTTCTTTCCTGTGAATGTTTTTAATATATAAAGTCTAAGCATTTATAAGTACCTTAATGGTACATTCCCTTGTACGGTTGTTTTACTCAGTCCTCTAACTAGGATTAATTCCTTCTTATAAATTTTTATTGCCTCTTTGTGAGGCATTGTATTATGAACAGGAAATATGGTAAAGGATACAGAGATGACTAAGATTTTAATTTCTTCCTTTCAAAAATTCTGTGGCGAGTAGGTGGATGTGAATTGTTAAAACAACTAAATACAAGGCATAAGGTAGGGTGGCTGGCTTTGTAATTGGAGGCCCTGGGTGCCTGGATTTGAATGGGCTTTAGTTTCCTTTTCTGTAAAATAAGTGGTTGGAACAAGATGACTCCAAAGTCCTGAAAGAGACTAAAATTACTATGCTCTTTCTATGAGCATCTGAAATAGAAACAGAGGTTGGGCTGCCAAGGAAGACTTCATGAGGTTGAGGGAGATATTTCTTGTGACAGTTTCTAATGCATTAGAACCCAGTCAGTTTTCAGAAAAATTGAAAAAGGCATTAATTTATAATTAGAATATGTATAAATAAAACCATTATACTTTTTCTACTCTTCCCATTCCCTCTACTCCTACAAGAATTGTTAGGGCTAGGTTATGAGCCGCATGTAGTAGGTATTATTAATATGAAGACCTTGCAGACTACAGAATTTATGGCTGTGAAATTTCCCTTCGTTCTTGACAGTGATTCTTTTATGTTCTGTAGATAGTGCAAATTCATGAAGCTTCTTTTTGTAGCTCTAATCATAGGGAGCAATTCTAATTAAAACAGTTTCATAAGACCTAAATGTTTCTTTCCCACAGAAATGTCACAAAGCAATAATTAATAAAACCTTGTTATTCTTGACTCTGAGTTAATCTCAGTGCATTTCCTAGGGCCAGGCTCTTAACAGGTGAATTTTTATTCACCTATAATAGGTGAATTTATTTATCGAGGTGACCTCAATAAATTTTTGATCATGTTAGATACAAACAAGATAAACCATTCCAGTTCAGCTTGCCTCTTTCCCAGTCCAGAAACTTTCCCTTTCATATAGAATAAATTTTTCTGCCTATTTGAACCCCTCCTTTGGGCTTTTGATGAGATAAGTAAGACGACTTACTTGGAAAGCAAACAATAGATTTAGAACAGGGCTTCCTAAGATGGGGTCCACAGATCTTAGTGGGGGTGGTCTGTGAACTTGGAAGGGAAAAGGTTACATATTGATTTTTACTAACTTTTATGAAATTTTGTCATTTCCTTCAATTATTTAAAAATGTTATTCAGAGAAGGGGTCTATAGTCTTCTCCAGAAGAGAACCAGAGGAATCCATGACACATAAAAAGCTGAATCTCTGGAATAAAACCTCAGTCTAATAACTGCTTCCCCCCCCCCACACATCTGTACTGGTAAGTAATCTATAACTTCATCACCAAGATACTTTGTTGCTGTCTTCTTGATGGACCACTGTCTTTCAAGAAACCAGGATTGAACAGTTCCAGAAAAACCTATCCCTTCCCAACAGTTACTGTAATGTTAAGCCATTTATTCATAATGGAGGCTTCACATTCTGTCCCAAGAATGGAAAGATTTCTAGTTAACAGTTGCTTTACCAAGATTGGTCTTATGGGAAGTATGATATAAAAGGGAATCTAAGAGCAATGGTTTGGAGAAATTAAACTGTTAAAACAATTATTAAATACTTGAACTTTCCTAACCTTTAAAAAGACAAGACAAAAGAATCTAAAAATATTTGTATGCCCTAACATATAGGGAATGGTATAAGTAAGCTTTTATACACTTCACATGAAAAGAAGTATAGCATAGTTTCCAAGTTTATAAGCGTACCTAGTGTATATGGTACCACTAAGTATGAGTGATGAATGGATAAATAGCAGTGTCCCCTTAACATATTAGATACTTTGAGCTAAAATTCAGTGAATAGAAAACCCATTCTGAAAGTACTAAAAGGACCAGAACCTTTATGAAACATAATTTATTTCAAGATTATTTTAATGTAAAACTACAAGGGCATTCTCCTATTCCATTAAATGTCATGTTACTGGAAATTAATATATTTCTTTAGTGCTCAAGTAAAATGTATTTTTTAGAACGCAGCATGCTTCATAAAAAAGCAGTTTGAATTATATTTCATTAAAAGGTCAGTGCCTACTGAAAAATTTGAAAATGGGTGGACTTCTGTTAGCCTGGAAATGGGGAGGAGTCATTTTTGCTCATTTTTTTTTAATTTAGAGGGAAAAATTTATAATGGAAATAAATGAAAACAAGTTGTAATATTTAACTGCACCCTAGATCTAATTTGCAGCATACCAGACCGATCTACCTCTTTGTTGCTCAGCATACTGCTGATGCTTACCAGCTTCCTTCCTTTCTTTATTTGTTTATTTATTTTTGGTCTAGATCTGTGTAATGGATCATTGGTGAAGTTTATAGGATCACGTATTTAGAGCTGGAGGGGACCTTGGAGGCCTCCTCATTCAGCCCCCTGTTTACAGATGTGGAAACAGACAAATTAAGTCAGTTGCCCACAACTATTAACTGAGGCACCATTTGCCACCTGGGTCTTAACCTGACTTCAAGTCCAGTGCCCTATCCACTCTGATTTCACAGATATAGAACAGCAAGTATATTAGAGGCATTAAACATCTGAGGATTAAACATAGCTCTTTCTGACTTCTAGACTGGCCCTTTATCCACTACACCACATTACCTTTTAATATTCAGTGATTTGATAGTTTTTATTATTTATTTGGACAGTTAACCTCACACAATTTCCCAAATTCTAAGAAATAAATAAATCCTCTGCCTTTGGGAATTTAAGATGCTATGAACTGCCCATGGGTCCATATAACCTTTAACAAACTAAAAATTGCTACAGGTTGCTAATCCTAAGCAGCTGCCATTGATACACATAGATTGTTTCCCAGATTTTGGCTATTTTGTCTTCTGTAGCATGACTTCATTGAGAATTTTAAGGTAGTTCAAGCCTAACTTATCTAACAAGAGAACTGAAAAAAATGAAAACTACTCTTAGCTAAACAGCAGTACTGTTAAACAATAATTATTTCCTCCAAATTTCTATACTTTAAACTCTCTTTTTCAAGGGGAGGCTGGGGGATTCCCCAGGGGGCTCAGCAATGCCTTTCCAACAGATCAGTATTCATTTCTTAAAATCATGGGGATGTGCCCGAGAATATTGTAGGTAGACACTGCTATGATATTTTCTCAAGGGTAGACTGATTAAATTTTACATGTACAGTTTGAATTTTCTTTCTACATCTTGCCTTTACAGTCTTTTTCAGGGATTCTTGTTTCCTCTCACTTCCTATTTCAGTTTGATTATTTTAATATTGCTGATGTCAAGTACAGTGACTTGTGAATGCCAGAGTGCAGATGTTTATTCAACAAGTATATATTTTTAAAGAGCCCATATTGCAAGTCTAAAGGTTAAGCTGTCCCCAAAGACATGATGTAGAAGCTTTTATTTATTAAGGCCTAAATTGGGTGGAGTATGAAATTAAGTAGGATATCAGATCCAAGACCTTTTGTTAGTCATGGGGTGAAGGACTCAGGATACTGACATCTCTTTACAAAGCTGAAATTATTATTTCCTTGGCTGGACTTGAGGAAAGTGGAAGGTCCTTTATATTTTGCTATGGAGGTCCTTCTAAGAAAATGAAAGATCAGAGATGAAGCATCATGTGGGAAGAGAACTGGAGTTGGGCAGAGAGGATATACACATCCAAACATTCTCTATAGTAAAATGCATTCCTTGGTATTAATAACAACAACACCAAAAAAAAAAGACTAAAAACTCTGCCATCCCAGTTCTATGGGATGTGTTCAACTTCTGATGGATACTTAAAAGAATTAAGGACCACATTTTCACATTGGTCTCTAAATGTAAATGAGTAAGATAGTGGTCAGTATAGTGGTCAGTCCTGTACTGTTGTCCTAAGAGGACCAAAAAGATGCTGCTGTTCACTCTGTCTGGTCTTTCTACTCTTGGAAGGTAGTCTTGATTAGGAAAATTAGGAACAAATTTGCCCTGCGATATGATCTATGGTATGGCATATAATATTTATGGACTGCTGGGTAAATTAGGAAAAAGTGACATTTTTGGTGTGAAATGTTTTAGACCTAAAGAAGTAGAACTTCCAATAATGACAGGCTATGAAAATGCATCTTGAGTCACAGATAAAAGAAATCAAAATTCTTAACTGTGAAGAGTGTGTTGCCATTAGTATATTCTCCTATCAACTTTAACCATTTTTATTTGAACAAGGTTTTCCTGTCTCCTTTTAAGGTCAGCTGTCAGGCAATGATGGGTTTGAATTTCCATGAGTATGTTTAAATTTCTCACTTGAAATTCAGTAGCAAGGATTAGCTTCAACCAGTATTTTCATATACTAACATTTCAGTCTAGGCATTGCTGTTTTATGAATAATTATGACAAGCATGGTAAGATCTGCATGAAGTGAAGCAGAATGAAGAAATCAGGGCCTAAATAGAAACGTTGATCAAAACAGGAGCAGTTGTGTGTACGTGTACAGGCCAGCGTGTGCACAAGGAGTTGGGGAGCAATGGCGGATAGTCCCACTGCAGGTGTGAATGTCAATAGGGAGTTAACAGTTTCATATCCACAGGGGACGGGGGGGGACATGATGATGGGTCCCTGGGAGCAGTTTTACTTTGGAGGAAAAGGGGGTGTGCTACAGGAATGGCACTTGCTGCTGGAAGGAATTGGGCTCCCTCCCCTTCTCTCTCCCTACCTCCATTTCAGCATCTTGTGGCTCATTTGTCCCATTCTAGTTAAGGCTTTTGCAGTACAAGTAGGCAACAAAATGATGAAATACAGCCATCAGTATTAGTACCTACTGTCAAAGTTAAAGGACACATCCCTCCTTTCTGTTAAAGTAGATTTGCCAAGATATTTGTTAGGATGTGTTAAATGTGTCAAAAGAAAATTATGTAAAACAAAGTAAGATTTCATTTGGGAAGAAAAAAAATCTAATGCTGATATGATACTTCATTGGATCTATGATCTCAGTTGATGTAGGTACTTCAACAGTGCAGATCTGTCACAACTCATCCATCCCTTTTCATTTTGTGTGATTCTTGTCCATGTCTTCCCATAAATTCTAAAAAGTGGGTCTACCCAACGCTGGAGGGTTCTCTAGATACCATGACATTATGTAGATATCAAAGGAACACAGAAATGGCCCAGAGATACCACGTTGCTTTTTGTTCCAGTCCAGGTCATGTCTCTCTGATGACATCTTTTATGCTGTTTCTCTTTTGCACACATGCAGTTTCTCGTGGGCGGTACACTACAGCCTAACATCTGCAGTGTGCCTCTTGTCATTGCTTTTGGGGTGACCTCCAACTTTTAATTTTCCAGGCTGGTATTCCATAACTCAGACATAAGACACCATCAGCAGAATAACGACATTAAAAAAAATAGGCCTTTGTTTCGGGGAAAAGCTTTGGGTCTAAAGGCCTGTATAATTGCCTCAAGGCAAACCAGCCTGCTTTCCTCCTCCGATTCTGGGTGCAATTCATTTTCTATTTGCAGTGTGTTCAAGAAGTATGTGTGGGTATATTCTGAATTTAACAAAATGATAGCAATAAACATTTCCATATATTAAGAATAGAAAAAAGATTGTATGTGAAACTGAATTTCTATTACATACAGCTTATCTCCCCCACCCCCCACCCCTTGTACTGATGGACTGGCTTGACAGGTTGTCAGTATCACAGTTTAGAAAACAGGCATTATTCAGCTACTTGGGTTTTCCAGTGTGTATAGTTAGGTTGAACTTTTGAATGAATATGGACATGGATTTCATTTAGGAGGTTCTGTAGGGTTCCAGGGCTTAATAGTACTTAACAGAAGAGGGACATTAAACAGTATCTTTGTTGTTATATCTTTCCAAGAAATTTTTATGATTTAATGTTATATAGGAAATACTGTGTGTCAGGCACTGTACTAAGTTTTACAAAGATCTCATTTGATCCTCAAAACTACCCTGGGAAGTAGGTGCTATTTTTATCATAATCCCAATTTTATAATTGAGGAAACAGGCAAACAGAGGTTAGTTGTTTTGCCTAAGGTCACAAAGCTAGTGAGGTCAAATTTGAACTCAGGTCTTCCTGACTCCGGGCCTAGTGCTCTATCCACAGAACCACTTAGCTACCTCATGATTTGTCATATGCATAGGGCCCACCCTGTTGGAAGTTTTTGAAGCAGTGTTTTGCTGTACTGAGTCAAACAAATGCTTTTTAATAATTAGTGGAGTGGGATCTTATTTTCTCTATAACTTTTCAGTCAATTTCAGTCTGTAAAGATTTGGTTCGCTATAGAATACTTCCTGCCACTGCTTGCTTGTTCACTTCCCAAGCCTTCAGCAAGGATTCCTTCAATGTGGATGCAGGTCATTCTTCTAAAAATTTTATAGAGGTAGAAATGTAGGCATATGGGTTGGGAGTAATTTCTTGGTTGCCTTTTTCTGCTTAAAATACGGCCTGAGACTTTCCAAGTGCTTGGTATCATCCTCCTTTTTAGATATTTTGAGAATCTAGCTCTTAGTATTCTCAAAATTGTACTGCCTTTTACATGGATCTCCTGAGTACATTTTATCTAGCTTGGCACTTTACTCGGTTTTTTCTTTTGTAGTTATGTAGCACTTTTTCCCACTTTTAGCCCCTTAGCTATGTCCATTCTCACTTACTGGACTTACTACTGCCATACTAAGCAGTTTAGCTTGATTTTTGTAATAACTGCAAAGGTTTTGGAAGCAGCATCTACATGACATAACTGAATTTTAATCATGAACCTATTTTTTATAACTAACCCATTAATTCTAATTTTAGGAATTTGAGGCTAAGGCAGTAAGAAATAGCAGTATTGTGGCAGTGGACATATCCACTGACTTAACATTTATAAAGCTAACCTTGCAGAGGTTCTTTCTATAGCTCTCTTAGGAATAGAAAAAAAGCCTTTGTTTTAATAAGAAAGTGACTATTGGGTAGGAGAAAGTTGTAGTATAAGAACTTCTAAAAAAGTTGGTATATGGAGAAGATAGAGCACCCAAACTTTTAATCATAAAGAAAAAGAGTCTTGAAGAAAAATCCCTCTTGTTACTATAAAGACTTCCGTTTGCTATTATATATATATTCTTCCTCCTCAAAAGTTTCCAGTAATGAAGGAGGAAAGGGAATAAGCATTTATATAGTACCTACTATGTGCTAAGCACTGTATAAATAGCTCATTTGATCTCCACAGCAATACTGAAAGACAGGTGCTGTTACTATCTCCATCTGATAGCTGAGGAAGCTGAAGTAAACAGAGGTTAAGTGGGTTGCCGAGTCACACAGCTAGTAAAGTGGCTGAGGCCAAACTCAGGTCTTCCTAGTTCCAGGCCCAGCTCCACCCTGCTTCCTCAATAATGAGACTGGAATCAAGATGGTCTTCAGGTAACATGTTTCATTTTGACTAAAGAAATCCCTGAAATGAAAGAATAAGGGTTTTAAATTAATTTTTCAAAGAAAAGGCAGGCAAAAACTAAAGGTTATTTTTATGGGTTGTTTTCACAGAATAAAAACAACAAATATTTCTTAAAATTGTCAGTCCCTATTACAGTTACATAAGAAACAGGCATCTTTATTAAATGACAATTTTAGGGATGAACTCCCCACCCCTCCATTAAATCTATTATGGATATAAAGTTAATTCTCTTAAAAGTAAAACAGTTAATATAGTTTTGTTTGTATAAGAATTGCTGAGTTTTGTTACACATCAATTTGCTTTTCATACTTAAGAAACCATTACTTGAAGCAAATCCAGCACGTAGCCGTTCTTTCTTACAAAGTCATCTTCCAGCAGTAGCATACATCATTTGAAATCCTTAAATTTAAACTCTTAAATAACCCTAATATCCCCCCCCATAAGAAGAGATTAGAGAAGAGACAACTCTGTCACTTAGTTAAAATGTGTGCATTAAAACTCACCTTCAACCTCCACCAGTTCAAGCGCCTACTCCCCAGGTTCCATTGTACACCTTTTTTGATACTGTAGATTAAGATCTTCCAACTTTTGTATTTCTTCTTCAAAACTAATTCCAAGATCCTTGTTGTTTCTTAGGAAGACCTTCATTGCCTGTACATTTTTAATGATCTGCAATAGTGAAATTAAACAGACATTTACACTGAAAATGATTTTCACAAGCTTTTCATTTTAAAGCCCAGCTCTGGGGGTGAGGGAAGTTATCTTGTGGCAGGTAATCATCTACCTCTCTAGTTATCAGCTTTATGTCTTATAACAAAGTATCATTTCCACTTACATTTCTAGTCTCCCTGGTCAATTGTCACAGTCAATACTGAACTTAATATTCCAAATGTGATACAAACAATGCTGAGTACCATGGAATTATTATTACTCTTTTGTTCTGGATGCTCAGCTATTTGACATACTTCTTATTCAGTCGTTTCAGACTGTTCGTGCCCCTATTTGGGATTTTCTTGGCAAAGATACTGGAGTGGTTTGCCATTTCCTTCTCCAGTTCATTTTACAGATGAGGAACTGAAGTGAACAGGGTTAAGTGACTTGTCCAGGATCACACAGCTAATAAGTGTCTGAGGACAGATTTGAATTCAGGAAGGTGAATCTTCCTGACTGCAGGATCAGCACTCTATCCATCTGCATCACCTAGCTGCCCTGAACATTCTGCCTGGTATGTATTGTATCATCTCAGCAGAATATAATATCCTTGCCCATGTAGGTTACTATGTAAGATTAATATAGAGATTTATACTTGCCAAAGCATTTTACAGATCTGATCTCATTTGATCCTCATTGTAGCCATGCAGATGTAGTAGTTTCTACTTAAAGCCCTCAAACAATTTCGGAGGGATGTTTCCCCTTACGAATGCCTAAAGAAATAGTGCTTTTGTTGGTGGGGAGTCTACCCTATTTTTTTCCTGGATTTTAATTTTTACTATTCTAAGCTTGACAAACATAACAAACATGGTCATTTCCCATTCAAAGTAAAAAATAAAAATTATATGAAACAATCTCATTACAGATATACATTTTTATTAAAACATATAGTGTGTAATATATAATATACATTATTATATATAACACATAATAAATTCAACATATTAGTTCTAGAGCTTTGTTTTCCCTCTTAATTTGCTCTTCTGTTTATTAAAAAAATTTTTTTTAATTGATCCTCTTTTCTTTCTTGGCATCACATCACCATACCCCTTCTTCCCACTTTCTTCCTACCCCAAGTCCCCAAAATGCCTTCCCTTGTAATAAATAAGCAGAGTCAAGCAAGGAAAATCTATACATTGGCTGTCTAAAAGTATCTCATCATGTGCCTTTAGTCCATCATCTCTCTGTCAGGTGGGAGATAAGCTTTATCATTCATTTTCTTAACCTTAGAGTGCCTGCTTTTGAATTGGAACAGGGAACACCAAGACATTTATTTTTTCTTCTACAGGAGCATTTTAGCTGCATTTATTAAAAAGTCCAAATAATGAAGAGAGTGGTAAGCATCTTCACATGTTAAAGGATCATGTGAAAGATGCCTTATGGCTCCAGCCCCACCCAACATGGTTCTCTGCTAAGCCTGAAGCTGCATTCTGATGAATGCACCCCTTGTACAGCTGTCACTTGATTCAAACACTGTCTGAACATCTACTGATCCCATTTGGCTCTTTTGCTGAAAATGCTTTAGTATCATTTGTATACATGTGCTGTATATTTTAACATTGCCCCCTTTTTATAATTTCATTTATTTATTTATTTTATTTATTTATGTTATTTATTATATGTTTATTGTTTTGTTTTTTTATTATCGTCAAGGCTCAGGCAAACTATAGAAAGTGAAAGGAGATTATGAGCTATGGCTGCCACAGTGTCCTTTGGTATCCCTCAGGAGTCTTCACACATTCTGTTTACATACCGCTATACATGTACTTTAAAGTGTCAATGTCACTCTCATCTTTCTAATGGACCAGTCTGAAGTCAGTCCCAAGTCATTCTTTTCCTATTATCTGTATTGAAAAAAATATAACTTTGGATTGTTAAATATAAGGGGAAAAAAGTTACTGGGCCCCATACTATAATGAATGGCAAACATAGGGAATTATAGTGAGGGGAAACCCTACTCTTGTAGTGTTTCAGGAGTAGGGCCTTGCCTACTCTTTCAGCACTGTTGTTATTTTGTTCTAGTCATACGAGCATGAAAATTGAGTTTAGCTGCCTCAGGACAGAAATGAAAAAAATATGGTGGCAATGGCAGTGGAGATGAGTGTGTCTCAGGATGGGCTTTTCTAGCCCCTTCTTCCACAGCTGCTAGGAGGTAAGATACCAATTTTCACCTCTGTCATCAGGGCTTTGCAGCAAAGGGACTTTGAAAGGAAAATGAATAGGGGCAACTAGGTGGTGCAGTGGATAGAGCACTGGCCCTGGATTCAGGAGGACCTGAGTTCAAATCCAGCCTCAGACACATAACACTTATTAGCTGTGTGACCCTGGGCAAGTCACTTAACCCCCACTGCCCAACCAAAAAAAAATTAAATTAAAAAAAGAAGAAAGGAAAATGAATACTGACTCAAATGGCAGAATTAAAGATGTGCTAGAAAAAGAGAACATTTAGTAAACAGCATCTTCCTTCTTGATGAAAGATAAAACTGATTTGTGATTAAAAATTATAAAATTCTAAGAGGTTCTTAGTCATTTTTTTGTGTCATGGAACCCTCTGGCAGTTTGGGAAAGTCTGTGGACTGCTTCTCGGAATGATATTTTAAAATTCTTAAAATAAAGCATATAAAATAAAAAGTGTTTTAAAATGAAATTCAGAAAGCTATAAAGGAAACCAATTGTCCTGATATAACATTATAAAAAAAAAGTTAACCAATTTACATACCCCAGGTTAAGAAGTCCTGCTTTAAAGTCTAATACCCATGAACAGAATCACAGAATTTGAGATTGGAAGGGACCTCAGTGACCATCCAGTCCAACCCAAAAGCAGAACAGGGAATCCTTGTTTAAGATTTTAAATATTTACTGTCAATAAACAAGTCACTGAGTGAATATCAACACATAATTGGTAATAAGAATTCTTCCTTGTGTTTAATCCAAAGTTCTCTTTTGCACCTCTTCTTCTGAATTTTCTCCTTATTGTATTTCTTTATTTTGGAGTTATAAATCTTTCATTTTCAGAATCTCTGCTGCTCTGGAGATTCTCCATCAGGTTTTAACTTAATTATTGTAGTGTTTGTCTGATACGTTTCTTGGAGGCAGGTAATTATGCAGTGGATAGGGTTGGGCCTGGAATCAGGGAGACAAGTTCCAATCTGGTCTCAGACACTTACTAGTTGTGTAACCCTGGACAAATCACTTAATCTATGCCTTAGTTTCCTCAACTGTAGCACCCTTATTCTGCAGGGCTGCTATGAGATCAAATGAGAGAATGTCTGTAAAAAGTACTTAGCCCAGTGCTTGGCACATAGTAGGCACTATAGAAATACCCTTGCTCCTCTCCCCTTCCTTGGGAACTCTGATTGCTGACCTCTCCCCATACAAATATCTTTTTTTTTAAAGTTGTGTTTCACTTTTGAATGACAACTGGAGCTTCTCGCTGTTGTTCCATGATCTTTGGAAAATCCATAAAATTTATTGTCTTGCAATAAATACACCCCCTCCCACACACACACAGACAGCAATGGTGGGGCAGGTAGGGGAGAAAGCTGAAGTTCTTCACCATTTTTGTGTCATGAAACTCTTTGGTGGTCTGATAAAGCCTGGGGACCAACTCTTAGAATAATGTTTTAAAATGCATAAAATAAAATTCAGAAAGCTCCAAAGGAAACCAATTATCTTGATGTACCGTTATCAAAATATTCTTTAAAAACCAAGTTCACGGACTTCAGAATGAGAACCCTTCATTTAAGTTTTAATACCCATTAAAAGAAGCATAGAATTTGGCACTGGGAAGGACCTCAGTGGTTCCAGTCTGGCCCTTATGCAGAATAGATTTGAACAGTTGTCGTCCATCTTTTGCCTGAAGGCTTTGGAAAACTGCCACCTCTCTTGGCAGCCCTTTCCTCTTTTGGACAGTTTGAATTTTTAGGAAGTTTTTCCTGCCATTAGTCCTAAACATGCCTCTTGTTAACATCCACACGTTGCTTCTAGTTCTGCTCTTTGGGAACAAGCAGAACAGGTCTAATTCCTCTTCCATACGAGAGCCCTTCCACTAATATAAAGAAGGCTATTGTATCCTACCCTCCCCCCCTCCAATTCAGACCAGTCTTCTCTAGTCTAACCATCCTCAGTTCTTGCAAGTGATTCCCCATTTAGTATGAATCCTTCACTGTCTTGTTCCGGTCCTCTGGATGTTTCTTAGCTTATCCATGCTTTTCTTAAACTGTGATATTCAGAACTAAACACAATGCTCTGTGTACCGTCTGCAGCAGTGTACAGAAAGACTATTCTTTCCTCATTCTTGGAAACCACACTTCCCAGTGCAGCTTTGTCTTGTGCACTACAGTTGCTATAGAATTAGTGCATTCTTATTCCAAGACTACTGGGATAGAAAAGTTACATGAAAAAAACTACCTTGCCAACCAAATGATCATCTTCCCTGTGTTTTAAGTAGCCACTGGCAAATGCTACCCATGCTACTAATAGGACAAGAGAAGAAAAGGAGTCGGGCAAATTGAAATTCAGAGAATCCTGGTGATTTTTGCCTAATTAGACCTATAACACTTCTGATGTCCATCTGTATACAGTGTTGTTCCTATTGCTATTTTTTATAGTCCTCAGCTGAGAACCTTGCCTCATATTTTACAGAAACAACTGAAAACATTTACTGTGAGCTCCATCTTCCTCATCACATAGATACCATATGTCCCTACTGCTTCCATCACTCCTGTCACACAGGATGAGGTAGCTTTGTTCTACCAAGGCAAACCCTCTATCTACTCAAATGATCCCCTTTCATTTTGTCCCCTCTGTCATTCCCACTCTTTCACTTATTTTCAATCCCTCCCAGTTTCTCATTTTTTTCCCCGTTGCCTATAAGCATGCCCAACTCTTCCCAAAAAACCCTCACTTTAGCTCTCTATCCCCACCATTGTACTTTGTCTCTTTTGCCCTTTGAGGCTAAACTGCTTGAAATGGCCATCAGCAATAGGTGCCTCTACTTTCTCTCCTACCTGTCCAGTCTTCTTACACCTTATGCTCTCACATGTACTCTTCAATCTAATGACCCTGATCTCCTGGCTGTTCAAAGATACTCAATGTCTTGGCTCTGGCTATTAACCCATCCCTGGTATGCTCTCCCTTCTGTCTTTGCTAATTGGCTTCCTTAAAGTCCCAACCAAAATCTCATCTTCTACAGGAAGCCTTTCCCAACCCCTCTTAATTGTAGTGCCTTCTTTCATTTATTTTCTATTTATTCTGTATATACCATATTTCACCACATAGTTGTTGTTTTTTTTTCAGTCCAAAATTGGTTTATAACCTTTCATCTCATAATTGTTGCATGGTATAATTCTGTTTGTCATGCCGCTTAAAGGGTAAACAGAGGAGCAATGTATTCAACCAGGGGCATATGGATACGAATTTGTCTCTTGCAAATTGCGAGATGTGAGCCTAGAATTCTCAGTGCATGCACATTATCAATATTTAATTTTAACATATATTCATGAGTATTCCACACATCCTAATCTTGCAGCAAATACAATTTAGTAATAAATGATTTTTAAGTTATACTGGCACAACTTCAAAAGTCTCACTCCACTTTTTTATGAAAAAATTTGGCATGAAATCTGCAACAATCAGTGGTGAAATACGGTAGTTTTTTGTACATATTATTTGCCTGCTATCTCCCTATAAGAATGAGTTCCTTGAGGGCAGGTATTGTCTTTTGACTCTTTTTGTATACCCAACACTAAGCATAGTGCTTGGCATACAATTAGCACTTAATAAATGTTTATTGATTGACTGACTTACACTTTTGACTAGTAACCAGGATTCATATTTTTAAAATATATTAATCTGTATTTATGAAATATTCATTGTCAGTAATTATTTGGTTTATAAGCCAGAACAGGAAATGTTCATTATAAGCATGGCTTGGATTACTAATTTCTCCTAATGGATTTTTTAAAAGAATTTTTACACATATCTGCTTTTTACCTCTTCAGGTGATATTGCTTGCTCTTCTGCTTGAATATAATTCTCTTGAAGTTTTTCCCTTAGTAATTCCATTTCTATTTCATTGATTTCACTTTCACTAAGGTGAATGCTGGTTTCACTTTCAGGACCATCCAACTGGTCATTCCCAGGGATGTGGACGGCCCAGTCAGATGTCAGCAGCTATTTGGATCCATAAAAGAAACATATATTAATTCATTTATATTCAAAACACAGTCTTTTAAAATCATTCAATAAGGATTATGATTAAAAGCTGTTAATTGGGGCTGTGTTGATATCATTTTGACAGAAAAAAAAACATCTAAGTAGAGGAGGATTTCAGGTCATATATGAACCTATCTGGAGCACTCTCTTTTTTTGTATCAAAATCCTAAAATTGGGTTAAACCCTGTTAAGATCCAAACTCCAGATGCCTGCAAAATTTTCTTCTTTGTTCCATGTATCACATAGTCACCAGATGTTTTTACCTGTTCTACTCTGGCACTTGTGGCTGCAATCTCTGGGATATTCCAGAATTCATTCAAAAAACTTTGAATCTTCTTCTGAAAATCTTGCAGCCATGTAGAAGAGACTTTCATTTCTGAAGAGTGCATGATTTCATTACGACACTTAATCACCTAAAAGTAAGAAGGAATCACAGAATCTTCAAGTTTGTATATGTCCTTATAGACCACCTAACTGAATTCATACTTGACTGGAGATGCCTCTACAACATCCTCAACATTCTGGGGAACATAACTATCTCTCAAATCAGTCTTTTTTATATCTTGGTAGTTCCAGCTGTTAGGAAGTTTTTCCTTTACGTAAAGATGGAACTTGCTTTCTTTGAGTTTCTTCAGTTCTGAGTTCAGCTCGTTACACCAACCAGAACAAGCCTAATTCCTTTTCTACATGCGAACCCTACATGTAATTGAAGAGAACTGTCATGTCACGTTATGTGTTCTCTTCCCCAGGCTAAACATTCCCAGTTCCTCCAACTCATTTTCATAAAGTTATGAACTTGAGGCCCTTCACTATCTTCTTTCTGCATGCTTTCCAGCTTATCAATGTCTCTCTGAAAATGTGAAATCCAGAACTGGAATACTCCTAATGTGGTCTGAGCAGGGTAAAATAGAGCAGGACCATTACCCTCCCTTATTCTGGACCCTTTGCTTCTCTTCAAGAAGTTCAAAGTTTAGGGGCAGCTAAGTGGCACAGTGGATAGAGCAACGGCCCTGGATTCAAGAGGACCTGAGTTCAAATCCGGCCTCAGGCACATAACACTGTGAGACCCGGGCAAGTCACTTAACCCCATTGCCTAGCCAAAAAAAAAAGAAGCTTAAAGTTTGCATTAGTTTTTTTGACTGTCATATTGCACTCTTGCCTTAGCCCACCAATGCCCCCAGGTCTTTTTCACGTTAATTGCTATCTAGCCAAGATTCCCCCATCAATTTGTAAAATTGATTTTTTGAACCCAGATGTGGGACTTTACATTAAGTATTAAATTTTATCTTGTTAGATTTGGCCTATTGTTAGCTAAAAAAAGTTAGTTTTTTTTCCTGGTTGTCATTCATTGCGTTAGTTCCTTCTTCCAGCTTTTGTGTAATCAGCAAATCTGACAGACCTGCCATCTTTACCATCTTCGAAGTTACTGATAAAAAGAAGAGCAGTACAGGGCCAAATAAAGACCCCTGGGGATCATCACATGAGATGTTCTTACTCTCTTGGCAACCCCCTCAGCCCTCATGGGTTTAATTACCATGTCTATGCAGATTACTCAGAGATCTGTATATCTAGCGCCTCTCCCCTGAGCATCACCAATTATCTGTTGTACATTTCAAATTGCCTGTTACTGAGACATCTCAAATACAACATGTACGAAACTGAACTCATTATTTTTACCCCCTCTTCCAAGCTAACCCATTTCTATTGAAAACTACCATCACTGTTCCAGTATCCCAGATTGTCAACCATGGCATTTTCCTATACTCCTCATTCTCCCTCAGCCTACATATCCAATTAGTTACTAAATCTTGCTGTTTCTACCTCCATAACATCTGAATCTAGCTCCTTCAATCAGGCCCTTAACACCTCTGATCTAGATTATTGTCACAGCCTATACTCTCCTATTCATTTCCATACAAATAGTTGCCTTTTGCCTCCAGCATAAAATATAAACTCTTCTGTTTATCTTATAATGCCCTTGACAACCTAGTCCCAGTCTATCTTTCCAGCTTCACTGAAGTAGCCTCACAGATGCAACTAGCTTGTTCAGTGAATATAGCGCTAGGCCTAGAGTCAGGCAGATGGAAGTTCAAATCTGGCTTTTGGCATTTACTAGCAAGTCACACAACTTCTTTTTGCTTCAGCTTTCTCAACTGTAAAGTGGGGATAATGACAGCACCTACCTTAAAAGGTTGTTGTGAGGATCAAATGAGATCATATTTGTAAAGTGCTTAGCTCAGTGCCTGGCACATAGCAGGTGCTATACAAATGTTTTTCCCCCCTTCATTGGACGTTACTCCCTTACTTGTCCCCTGTGATTTAACCAAACTGGCCTTCTCTCTGTTCTTCACACACAATACTCTGTGTATTTTCTGTCTCCATACCTAGAATGCATTACCTTCTTAACCCTGCTTCATAGTCTCTCTTTAAGACAAAATTCTAGCACCATCTTCTGCATGAAACCTTGTTTAGTTTCCTCAAATGCTAGGGTCCTCCCTCCCAAACTACTATGTATAAACTACTTAGTATGTATTTGTATTTGTTTATCCACTTTATATTCATATTGTATATATTTTTGTTTGTACCTGTTGTCTCCCATATTAGAATGTAAGCTTCTTGTGAGTAGAGATTTCCTTCATTCTTTGTACTTTTTAGTGGCTAGCCTAGCTAGGCACTTAACACATACTTGTTGAGAAACTGATTCTCAGCTAATTATAATTAGTTAATAAATACCCTTTGTGTGTAGTTATTCAAAACAGTTTCAAATCTACCTCAGTGTATTACTGTGAAGCTCACCTTTTTTCCATCTTTTATTCAAGAGTAGCAGGAAAGACAGTCAAATATTCTAAATGAATGAAAATGTATGTATTAACTACATGTATTTGACTACATGTCAAGTACTAGTGATACAAATACAAAAAGTGAGACAGTCTTTACCCTCAAGGAGCTCAAACTCTAAATTGGGGAGACAAGACATCTTGTTGCTGCAATGTAGATAAACGCTAACTACAAATTCCCCTGATTTAGTTTAAAAATGTGTCAGTAAATGGGGTTAGTTGGGCATGGTCCTTTTTTTTTTTTTAAAGAAACCATGCTGGCAATGATCAGCAACTTTTCTAGATGTTTACTAATCATTGTTTAAATAATATATTCTTAGAATTTTATCAGGAATAGAATTCAAGCTCATAGGCCTATAATTTGCAGACTTAGTTCTCTTCAGTTTTTAGAAAACTGGGAAGTGTTTCCTTTTCCAGTCTTGTCACACCTCTTCCATTCTTTATGTTCCATCAGAGATCACTGACAGCTCAGCAGTCACAGCCATCAGTTCTTTCCATATGCTGGGACAAAGGTCATCTGGATCTAATGACCTGGACTCAAATTATTTCAACTTCTTATTTAGACATTTTAGTTCTGTCCTGTCTAGTTCAAAGAACATCCTCTTTGGCTCAGAAAATGGACAAAATTGAGCAAGTCCTTTTCTCCATTATTGCTGTCCTATCCACCTGAAACAACAGTCTTATCTGTTTTCTCATACTCTTTTCCCCAACATAGTTAAGGAATAATAGTAATTTTTAAAATGTCATAGTTGAACAGTGACACAAGTTTAAATTAGAAGAGCAAATGTCAGGAAGAGAGCATATGTTGGGATGGGGGGGGATTGTGATTTTTAAAAATTTGTTCTGTTTATTGAGTAGCTTTTATTTTACCTATTCTTAATTTTAAAAGTGGAGCATTTTACATTTCTGTATCTCTTTAAAAGAAGAACAAACATCTTTGAATCTTACAAAACCATCAAAAACTGAATTAAGTTGCTTTATTTTTGTAGTCCTTGATTTTTTTTCCTATGAATCAGAGGTTCTCAATAGGAAAAAGATTTTCCACACTTGATTTACACTGATATTTTCCAGTGAAGGCCACTACTAAACTACCCAGTTCACTGGCATTCATGGCTGGCTTAAAATTTAAAATCAGACAACTTAAGTGTTTAGAAGTACCTGGAAGTTCTTACCTCTATGACTTTCTTTCGATCAATCCTGAAGTGATCACAGGAGTTGATAAGACTTAGAAGAGCAACTGCATCACATTCCTCAGGTCCTTTTTTGTCTGCCAGTCCCCTGGGCATAAAAGCCTATATCACAGAGCCCACAAAATTCTTATTTGCTTTAGGAAGTTGCAAATCATTCATCATATGTATATTTTCCTAAGGATAACAACCAAGGTTTTTTTAGCCTTTAAATAACAAAAATTTGCCTGAATCAGGGTTCTGGTGAATCCTAAGTACAAGTTGGGCAGCAGGATTCTAAATAATCATAGAACTTTCTGAAAGAAACTTCAAAGGAAGGGGTTCATCCAATCTGTTTTTCTTACCCCAAGTAAAACTGGCTAACCCATAAAATTTGTTATTTCTCCTGTTTTCAAAGGTCTTAAGAATCTTTTATAACCTCTCCTGGTAACTTGTGCCAGTGTTTCACAAATTCTAATAGTAAGGAGGCTTTCTTATTGAAATACAAGTGTTAAAACACATAAAAGCATTATAAAACTCAGACAGTGCCCCAAACAGACACAGTCTATGGGAGAGAAGTAAAAGAAACATCCATACAACACAACCCACTACATCTCAGGATTCAGTGTAACCAGACAGGAAGATAGAAGTCTAAGAAAGATTATACATACTTACATACAAACACATGTATCTATATCTATGTTCTACTAATGAAAACAAAATCAGACTACATACACACAGAAGAAATCTGTGCTAAAGCTAACACAACTCTGATGGATCAATTCTCAAGCTATCTGAAAGAGGAGAGGATAATAAACCCTTGGGGGGAAAATCATGTACCTTATAGTTACTTAAAAAATGAGACCAAGAAAATGGCAAAAACCATTGCATCAAAATGTGTGCTTGTGTGTGCGTGTGTATAAAATCTCCCTTAGATTATTACATGTTTTAGTGCATATTTTTAAATAAATACACACATATATGTGGTAGTGTCCTCAAAATTTTGTGCGGTTTTAAGCTTTAATATATGTAATTTTAAAAATATATTCATATATTTAATTTTTTAAAATATACACAATTTTAAAGCACTATTATCCAGTGTAAAATAGATTCTTTCTTATTAACCTGGCCTAGCTTGTCTCCCCTTCACTCTATAAATCAGCCTTTTTTCCCCTTAAAGCCACACTGAATGTAATAGGAAAATAGAAAATCTTGTAATTTCACAGATTCTCTAGCCCATGGTAGTAATGGTCCTAAGACTTGACTGCTTTGTTTTTCTTCCTCATTTCTTCTTGCCAATTCAGTAATGTTTTATTGTGTATTTAAGTCTTATTGTCTCCTTTTATTTGAGTTCACAGACTGTCAGCTTTTCCTAAGGAAGTTTAACTTGATGTAAATCAATTACCACAAAGAAGATACTAAAAGAACCTGAGAACTGTTTTATCAGCAAATACTTGATCTTTTTGCCAAGGGAAGAGAAAAGGTAGCCAAGGGCAATACTGGCATAGGCTATAAACTCTTGTAAAATCTTACAGAGGAAGATGGTGGAAGAATATGTGCAGTATCAGTTCATAAAACAGTAAGAAACAATGAAGGAACAAGTTTATAGAACAACGTGGCATGGAACACAACCATGCCAGATCATCTGAAAAGCAGTTAACAATAAAAATGGAAAGAGGACAAAGACACTATTTCTCTAAAAGAATTTCTCCATAATGTAGTATAGCTACATCCTGTCTACTTTTGACATATGGTTCCCGTGTGAGGAAGCAGAAAAGGCGCTAATGAAACAACATGGGCAGAGTGGCTGGGCTAGACCACGTACCCCCAGGAGGGATCGATGCTAGTGGTGAAAACTTGAGAGATCAATTCTCAAAATACTTGAAAGAGGGAGGAGAGGATAATAAACACTGGGGGTGGGGGGGAACATGTAGTTACTGAAAAATGAGACTAAGAAAATGGCAATAACCACTGCATCAACAGCAAGCTTGTCTCTATAAGTCCATCTCTATAGAAACCTTTTCACAGAATAATGCCCTCACATGCATTCAGGTTATCTTCAAAGATTTGAGAAGGGAAACAGGCAGGTTCTCACAAGCAACATTCAATAGTAGACTCTCCATCTTTACTATCACACAAATGACTGAAAGCTACTATAGAGCATACAAGATCCTACTTTCTTTCTTATTAACCACAAAAACCACTTGACTTGTTAGAGTTAAAACATTGCCTTAAAGATTCTTTTCCAACAAGATGGCTTCCATACACTGGTCACAATCATATAAGATTGCAATTAAGATATTAAAATATAATCATAGATTACAGGATCATAGTCACCTAGAAAAGACTGTGGAGGTTATTTAGCCCAATGCCCTCAAGAAAATGAGGCTGAAGGTAGTAAAAGGCAGAACCCAGGATTCAAATCTAGGTCCTGTGACTAAATTTAGCCCTCTTCTCATTGTACTACAATAGAAACTGCTTTGTTCTAAAGTCCTCCAATTATTAATGTGAAGCAAGGCATGTTACAGAAGTTGTATGTGTACCAAAAGTATCTGCTGCTGCCATGGAAGATGTCCATAATTGAATTTAAATGGAAGAGGTACATGCCCTCTCGATCAGGAATTCTTAAACCGGCTTCCATGTCATAGGGTCCACGGATAGATTTCAGAAGGCCCATGAACTTAGATGGGAAAAAGAAACACATCTTTATTTTCACTAACCTCTAACTGAAATTTTGCACTTCAGTTATTTAAAAATATTCTTCTGAGAAGGGGTATCCAGGTTTCACCAGACCACCAAAGGGATCCATGACATAAACAATGTTAAGAACCCCTGCTCTAGATGGTAAAGCTCTCTCAGATGCTCCTGGTAGCTGATGACATTGTGCTGGTTACATCAAGCCCCAGAACACCCAGCCACCTAAGGGAGATATGTAATCACTATTCACATGGGACCAGAGAAGAATGCCTGTTGTCCAGATTATGATACATAGTCATACATATATCAGAACATATCTTAGACAAAAACTAAAAATGGACAATGAACTGCACCCACAATTGATTAACAGGAGAAAGGAAGGCTGGCTTAAATTTGGGAAACCTCACAGTGCTTTTAATGATCCCACACTTCTCCTTGAAACAAAGCCTTGTCTTTTTAACATCAGTGTTTTTCCAGGGATGAGATGTGGATACAAATCATGGGAATAGTCACAGACTCTGAAGTATCTGAATTTAAGGGGTGGCCACCAAAGAGTAATGTCGTGGTAGGTACAGATGGGTCTGAGAAGGCTGCAGTATATTACCAATTCAGAAGTGAACAGGATAAGCAGCATAAAGATCAGAGAGAGATGTGACCAGAAAAGAAGTTGGGCTGCTCACATTATGAGAGTGAAGACTGGAAAGCCTGCCAGCTCCACCCAAGATCTAGGTGAAGGCCCCTAGCACAAGGGGTGAATGGCCTGTGAAGAATTTACAAGAGGAGCACAGGGGTGTTAGAAAGCTCGAAAGGACTTCCCAATGCCTCAGGAGAACATAGGATAAATAATGGTGATTGTTATCTGCACTGGTGGGTAAGCCTGGAGCCCCCCTTAAGAATCACCATAAGAAACCTGGAATATTAAAGGCCAGGGATGGTTTCCATATGACTGGACATTGTTACTTAATAAGCCCTCCCTCATAACAAAGAGGTATAGTTAAGAAAAACAAACCGAAACGCTTACCCTAATAGCAATGCCTCTTTCTGTTCCTACAGCCTACCACCTTTCAGTTGAGACTGAAGGCATGCTTCAGTCCTCATCAGGTCAAGATTGATCTGAGTACAGTGATCTGAATTATGACATCTTTTTGTATTTTTCTTTGTATTTTTGTGATCATAATATATGACCACCAAATAACCCTCTTGGTTCTGTTTATTTTAGCCTGAATCATTTCATACAATCCTTCCCACATTTTCCTGAATTCCTTGTATTTGTTACTGACGCAGTATATTTGTTATATGATGCAATAATAGTCTATCACCTTCACAAAATCACATCATTTTAGAGCTGGAAGGTACTTAGTGGCCCTTTGTGTATGGGTCCAACCGAAACACGGAGGAATCATATTCATAAACCACAGTTTGTTTATCCATTTCTTAGTCAATGGGTATCACCCCTTTTCAATTCTAGTTTTTCCTATTACAGAAAGCACCATTATTTTGCAAGGACACATGGAATATAAAGTCAGGTCTAAATTAGTCTGCATCTCCTTGGGGCTACCAAATCAACCCTTAGGGTAAATTTCATCTTCCTGCTCTCCAGAAATGGTTAGTGCTGGCCAATCTGACTTGACCTAAACAGTTTTTATTTGTGGAGCATTTTCTGGAAGTTCCTCATCCTACCTTCTGTTTTTCATTTCTTCCCCACCAGCCTCTATAAAACACATCAGAAGTTTCTTCTTGGGTCAGGGGAATAACTCAGGGTGCTGTTATAGTCCCTGCTCATTTGGGGATGTGGGAAAGAACCACATTACCTTCTTAGACTGCGGTTTTTTCCATTTTCATGGCCCCAAAACTCTGAGGTTCAGACTGGTGCCATTCCCAGTCAGTGCCCTAAGGGAGCTCTGGATTTCAGGAGAGGAGAGGGACCCTGATGTAACTATGGAAGGAAGCTGACTTTAGCCTCTAAAACACAGACTTCCAGAATGTTCTGGGGACTGCAGCTGTTCACTCAGTCAGTAAGCATTTATTGAATACCTGCTGTGTGCTAGGAACCGTGCTAAATGCTGGGGACTCAAAGAAAAGCAAAAGACAGTCCCTGCTGTCAAGGAGTTTGAAGCCTAAAAACAACATGAAAACAACTGAACAAAACAATATATATGTAGGATAAATTAGAGATAATCAGTAGAAAGCAGGCACTAGTAAGCAGGGGAAAAGCTTCTTGTAGAAGATGGGATTTTAAAGGAAGCCAGGCAAGTCTGGAGGCAGAGATGGGGAGGGACAATATTCCAGGCCTGGAGAACAAATGGCCACTGTAAATGCCCAGATTCTGGAGATGGGAATGTTTTGTGCAAGGAACAGTGTCTCTGGATGGCACAGTTCATGGAGGGGTGGGGAGGGAGTAAGATGTAAGATGTCTGTTGAGGTAGGAATGAGCCAAGTTGTGAGGGGTTTTGAATGAAATTTTTTATATAATTTTTTAGAATTTTATACTTGATCCTAGAGGTAATAGGGAGTCACTGGAATTTACTGAATGGGGGAAGACATGGTGAGATCTGAGCTTTAAAAAGATCAATTTGACAGCTGAGGGGGTAGACTGAAGAGCAGGGAAAGCCTGGAGGCAAGGGGACCAACCAGCAGGTTTCTGCAATAGTCTAGGGGTGAGATGATGAGAACCTGGGACAGAGGAGAGAAAGGGGCCTGTATGAGAGAAATTTCATCACCCTTTTACCTCCCACTCAGTTTTCAGCCTCTGGCAATCTGGTTTACAGGTCCACCACTGAACTGAAACAGCTCGCTCACTCCAGGTTACCAAAGATGTCTTGTTAAATTCAGTGACCTATTCTCAGCGTTCATCTTTCTTGATCTCATGGTAACACTCAACCTTCCTGACCTCTCTGCAGCACTTGATGCTGGTGACCACCCATTCCTTTGGCCATACTCTCCTCCCTAGACTATCTTCCTAGCCATTTCCATAGCATGATTGCAAACTGGAACTCAGGGTCCCACCTCTTCAACCACAGGTTTCTGACTTTCGAACATTCACTTTCTCTTACCCAGACCCAGACCCACCATACTACCTCTCCACCATCTCCTCCTTCAGTCCATTCCAACTCTAGCCCAGAAAACAGAAATCAAATCAACACTACCATTTCTGGAAAGGAAGTGTCAGTTAATTGTCCTGGGACTTCAATCACTGTTCTCTAGGACTTTTCCTGTTCCAAACACTCCTCCCTGGCCACCATGTCTTCTTCTGTTAGAATGTAAGTTTCCTGAAGACAGGGACTGTCTTGTTTGCTTTTATTTGCATCCCCAGAGTTTAGCACAGTGCCTAGCATGTAGTAAGTGCTTCATATCAATTCATTTTCTTTTCTTTTTTCTTTTTGGTGAGTCCTCTCTGATGGACTCTTCCCAGTGTCCTTTGCAAAATCATCTATCTTTTGTCCCCTATGTGTGAGTGTTCTCAAGACTCTGTTCTAGGCCTTCTTTCTCTATGCTTCATAAGTTCAACTAGCAGAGGACTAACAGATCTAGATATCTTACCCTCCTTTCTCTTCTGAGTTCTAGATCTCCAATTGCCTCTTAGGTATGAGTCACTGGAATCCAGAACCACCTCAAACTCAGCATGTCCCAAACTGAACTCAATCTCTGCCTGCCTAAACTCTTCCCTTCTCATCATCGTATGGCTCATATCAGTGATGTTTTCTGGCCACCCAAGTTGGCAGCCTCAGAGTCATCTTTGCCCCTTTTCACTATATCCAATCAGTTGCCTCTAGAACATCTCTTGCATCCATCCCCTTCCTTCTGCACACACTATGACCAACATAATTCAGGTCCTAATTACTTCTCACCTAGACTACCAGCAGAAACCTCCTAATCTTTGCTCACCTCTGTCCTCCCTAATCCATCATCTACACTGATGCCAGGCTGATATTCCTAAAGCACAAATCTGTCCAGATCACATCCCTGCTCAGAAGATGCAGCTGTTCCCTATGCCTTCTAGGACAAAATACAACCCCCTTTGGCATTTTAAAACCCCCTCATAATGTAGTTCCAGCCTGTCTTCTAAGCTGATTACATTTTTTTCATTTCAGCTAGAATGGCTCACCAGCCCAACACACAGCATCACATCTACTTAGGTGCCTTTTCATGCATTCTCCCCCACATCTGGAGCGCTCCCCTCTTCACCTGTGCCTCTTGGAACACTAAGTACCCTTTACAGCTCAGTTCAAGGGCCTTCCTTACTACCCCACATGTTAATGCCTGTCCTCCACCCTCTCCATTTTATTTGTATTTATCATATAAATATTTCCTACCCTTCTCTCTCCATCCATCTCACTCATCTGCTATCATTTATCTACTCAGTTACAAAAAAGTTCCTTGAGGTTGGAGACTGTCTCATTTTTGTCTCCACATTCCCAGCTCCTAGCACAGTGCCTGGCACATAATAGGAAATTTTAAAAATGCTTGTTGAACACAGTGCTTGGCACACAGTAGATGCTTAATAAATGTTTATTGATTGATTGAACTGAGTTGAATCCTACAGCCCTATATTTGGGTTACACCTTTTGCTCCCTGATGCTAGTTTAATATAGGTCCTTGTGAAAAAAGTATTAGATAAGAAATTACCTTTGCCAGTTCCCAGGGGTCAAAAGGCCAGCGCTCAGGCTTGCAGTTTCCCCAGTAGATGTCTCCATTTCTGTTGGTGTGATGTTTCAAAATCTCCTTTTTCCATTCTGCACACAACTGACATTGAGGCTGAAACTAAAAGTAATTAAGGGGAGGAAGGAAAATGGTATACGGAGTTCTGAGTAATTCTGGATGCAGAATGCTGGCATGGCATGGTGACTGGAATATAGTAGGTGCTTAACAAATGCTTGTGGACTTGGCAGATCTTAACTATCACTTTTCAGGGTAGTTCAAAGGTCATAGTTATAGCTGGAAGGGGCCTTAGAATCATCTAGTCCAACCCCCTTATTTTAGAGAATAAGATGAGGCCAGAGGTTGTCACTTGCTCACACAGCTAGGAAGGTCAGAGCTTGGATCTGGACCCAGTTCCTCTGACTCCAGATCCAGTGTTCTTTTACCACACTAAGCATTAGCATAGCAAACAGTTGAAAAACCAGTTTGCTGGGGAAGACTGGCTGCATTTTAGCACCTGACACTCAATTAATTAAAAACAAAGGCCCATGTGAGCAGCCCCCGACAAAAAATTCACCTACATAATGTCGGGCTAGGTGGTCCACAGGATTTCCACCTAATCCCCAAGAGTCTCATCCATGGGGGGTGAGGGGAGTGTCACTGGCTTTCATGTGGCCCTCAAGTGTGGCCCTTTGACTGAATCCAAACTTCACACAACAAATATCCTTAATAAAAGGATTTGTTCTATAAAACTTATCATCTGTAAAACCACTCCTGCACTGGCCACCTACCTTAGCTGACAAGTAGGCCTACCAAGGAAGATGAATGAGCACAGGACTTGGGGTTCTGTCCCGGGACGTTACAAGGTACATCAGTGGACAAGCATTTATTAAGCACCTTATACTACATGACAGATATGCTGGCTAAGCCCTGGGTGTCCCAAGAAAGGCAGAAGATTGCCAGCCCTCTCAAGGAGCTCACTGTTTAATGGGGGAGACATTATGCAAACTAGGTACAAATAAGAAATGAGCAGGAAATTGAAGCTAATCAGCAGACGGAGGCATTAGCATTAAAAAGGACTGGAAAAGGCCTCTTGGTGGGATTTTAGCGGGGACTTGAAAGAAGCCAGGAGATAGAGATGAGAAAACAGAGTATTCCAGGCATGGGGGGCATCAAGTGAAAATGCCCAGAGTCTGGAGATGGAGCATCCCGTGAGGAGCAGCAAAGAGGTCAGTGTCATTGGACAGCAGAGTACTGTATGCATCTGTGGCTGGGAATAAGGTATAAGACTGAAAAGGCAGAAGGGGCCAGCTGGTGAAAGGCCTTGAATGTCAGAGGATAGATTTTATTCTGGAGGTGACGGAGAGCCACTGCAGTTTACTGATTAGGAGATGATGTGGTCGAAAGCCCGAATGACCGGGAGGATGGCGGTACCTCCACAGCAACAGTAAAGAGAAGGAAGGAGGGTTGGGGGAGGAGGGGCGGGAACATGCTTAGTTTGAAGATGTCTACGGGACGTCCACCTGGAGATGTCCAAGAGGCAGCTGAACATGTGAGCCTGGAGGCTGGGAGAGATGTTAGGGTTAAGGGGTCTGAGCCCGTGGGAGCTGAGGGGAGATGAGTGAGAAACCAAGAGGGGAGGGCAGGTGGTCTGTGGGGGAAAAACTGGGAAGGAGGGGGTCTGAATTCTTTCGAGTTGCTTTGCTTTCCAAGGGCAGCTCGGTCGCTGGTGGTGGATCAAAGTGATGTCTGGAGTCCCTCACCTCCTCCGGCCAACTCTGCTAACTCTGTCCGGTCGGAGGCCCAGAAAAACCGGGGACCTCCCTAGGGGAAGCCTAGGGACAAAGGGCGCGAACGGGAAGAGAAGGCAGCCAGCTTGGGAAGGGAGGGGAGGGGGGGAGTTAGGGGGAGCACGCCGCCCCGGGGTGCCCATCTCACCTGCCGAGCGCGGGGGTTGCAGCGTACGCCGCCGCTGCAGGAGGTGCGGGGGCCCAGGCCGGGGACCTCGGACAGGATGCGCTGGTGGAAGGCATCCACCTCGGCGCGGACGAAGCCCTGCAGGCAGGCCCGCAGCAGCACCAGGCAGTGCCCCGCCTTCACCCAGTTCTTGTACTCGGTGCTGTTGAGGCGCAAGGCCAGCTCCGAAAGCACCATCTGCGCCGAAGGCCCGGGCCCTCCCCGAGCCGGACTGTCCGAGCGGCTTCCTGGGAGTGGCACTCAGGCACCGTGCGCATGCTCGCCCTTTTGGTTTGGACAGAATGGGGAGGAGTCAATTGCCACCTAACTCGGGCGCTCCTGGTACCCTGCTCGATTCCTTCTTTCTCTGGCTGCCCCCAGCTTACGGAGGTCCGGTGGCGCGCCCCCTTCCCCGCTCCCGGCCCGAGCCCTACGCGCGCCGGAGTTGTCCTAGGAGCCAAGGTGCACCGGGGCTACGCTCAGCCCAGCCGCCGTGGGGACATGCTGCGGTGCTCAGCCCGTCATAGAAAGGGCCATACTTTTGTTCTCTTTGTTTTGTTGTTTGGCTTAGATCCGTGGTGCTCGGAGGATTTTTCTTTTTAAAAAACCTTAAATCGATATTTTGTTTTAGCTTTACCTTTGTTTAAGAACATATCCATCATCTCCCCTCCCCAGGGACAAAGAAAGATTAAGAGGTAGAGGATTGGGGGAAGCAGTTCGGCAAAACCAGCCTACACCCCATTCGGGTTTGTGCAATATTCCACACCCACTGTCCCCCCGTCTTAGCAAAAGAAAGTGCTTTTTATGTGACTACTCACTAGGCCTGTGATGTGGGATTGGAGATTTCTACATTAGCGTCATCTTTGAGTTGGTTTGGGGCAGGAAGACTTATCTTCCCCAGTTCAAATCTGGCCTCAGACACTAGCTGTGTGACCCTGGGCAAGTTTGGCTCAGTTCATCATCTGTAAAAATGAGCTGAAGGAAATGGCAAATGCTCCAGTAGCTTTGCCAAGAAAACCCCAAATGGGGTCACAAAGTCGGAACGACTATACCATAACGAAACGATTTTGGTGAAAGAACCTTGGGGGTGGGGGTGGTCTGTACAGCCTCTTGGTTGTGTGGCTTAAAAAGGCTTAGTTTGAAACGAATGGTTCATTTTTATCTTCTGCACATAGTCCAGTGCTTGATTCATAAGCCCTTAGTAAATGCTGATTTGAAGATTTATCCATGTGTCTTCCTGGGTATTCCAATCTCCCATGGCAAAGGACAATTGGATACTAATTGTATTAATGATACAAAGAAGATCTTTGGTTTGTAATGCCCTCTTCCTTCCGTCATCCAATCCAATCTTACTCATACTTAGAAAGACTAAGCTCCGGTATTCAGTGTGGCATCTCAGACCACTTCGTGGCTCTAACAGCTACTTTTTGTCAACATCACATCTGTTAATACCCTAAAATTATTACTAGTTTTCATGCTTATGTATCTTTCTTCTCCCACTAGATACAGTAAATGCTTCATCTATCCGATAGAAAGTAAAGAACCTGGAAGGACCCCCCAGGCTACCCCTGCCTAGCTACTCTATCTATAGACTTCTATGTTATCACAGCATTTTTTACATTAGCTCGTACATTCACTTGTGAGATAGCACAAATTTTATTCCCATTTTACAGAAAAGGAAGTAAAGTCAGAAAAGCACCTTAAGACAATGGGTTATCTGTAAAATGAGAGGATTTGACTAGATGTTTTCTAAAATTCCTTCCAGAGACTTTTACAAGTCTATAATTCTGAGCTTGGTTTGTGATTTGCCCAAGGTAATGTGGAGAGTAGTAAGGTGCATGTTATTAATACCATCTCTTTTGACTAGGTTTTCTATACCACATTGCCTTTACATGTCATAAAGCCCTTGCAATAAAGCACATGTATTTTCAGTCGTGGGCAGTTCCCTCATGTAGAGCTTCTTTTATCACATACTTCTAATAGGGTTAGTAATCTGTTTTCCAAGTTTATACCAAATTAGGAGCAAAGGAAGGAGGGGACATTGTAGAGGCCTATATACCAAAAGCAGCAAAAAGCAAATCATTGGTGAAAGAAATTCATAACTATAAAGACAAAAAAAGTAAAGGAATTTGGGGTCACTTGACCTTCACAGTATTTAAATTTGTAATGAATACACATTATCAGGAAGTTATAATCTGTATTATGAGACCAGGCAGTATACAACATATTTGGGAAATATTTTCTCATCCAAAGTGTTGGTGCTTACAATTTACTAGATCTCCCCTCCAATCCAGCCAACTGGTTTGTTTTTTTTTTTCTCCTTAGAAGCCCTATGCTATCCCCCCTCTCTACTTGTGCCCATGCCTTTGACCCATTCCCATCCTCATTCCTCTCTACCTAATCCTACATTCACAATAGGCCCTGAATTACTCATCTGCTGGAGCATTCATCAATCTCCTATTCCCAAAACTCAATCATTCCTGGAAACATTTTTTCTCTTGAACTCATCAATATCTACTGTTTCAATTATGACTGCAGATTATTTCCAAATTTATACATCCAGCTCCATTCTTTCAGAATTCCAGTTACACACCACACTATTTGTCTTCTGGACAGCTCTACCCAAGTGTCCAGTTGGCATCTAAAACACGTTCTAAATGGAACTCATTCCTTCTAAACCTGCCCCTTGTAACTTTCCTGTTTCTGTATGACACTAAGAATTATTTTTGATTCTCCCTATCAGGTTAGTAAGTCTCGTCACATTTTTCTTCTTGCATCTGCCCTCTGATGTGGCCATCACTCTAATGTAGAGCTTCAGTACTTGTCACCAACACCATTTTAATGCCCCCCCCATTCCACCTAGCCCTGCCAATGTCTTCCTTTCAGTCTTCTTCAGTCCACCTGCTGTATAACTGTCCTAAGGCACAGATCTGACCATACTGTACCACTTTCCTGCTCAAAAACCTCAAGTGGCTCCTGTTACCTCTAGGATAAAATCCTCAGACTGGCATTTAAAGCTCTGTTCTGGCTCTAATCCAGCTTTATTCCATATTATCCTTTCACAGACAATATGCTTCATACTACTTATTACATCTACCTGCTCCCCAGACTCCATTTGGCCTCCTCTTCAGGTGCCTTCAAAGGTTTCAGGATTCTGTCTGGAACCCTCGGCTTCCTTTAAGGCTTAGCTCAGAGTCACCTCATGCTGAGGAGCCTTTAGTGCTTTCTCCCCATCACATTACCCAGTATTACTTACCTGTGTTAATGTTGCATCTCTGTCAGAATCTAAGCTCCTGGAGGAATCTATGTGTCTTGCACATAGCAGATATTTCAGCTACCTGTGGGCAATCAGCTTGGTATCTTGTACATGGGAAACTCAATAAATTTTAATTTCTCAGTGCCTTCCTGGACTGCCGAGTAAAGTGGCACAATTTGCCTTCTCATTAGCAATACTAAGTAGTCCCAGGCCTTTTTTTTAAAAATAACATTTTTTGTCTTTTTACTTATTGTCGGGCTATCAATTTTTTTGGGAGGGGGGCACAGACTTCCCCTTTAAGTTAAGCTTCTAATTGCCATGGACCTCAAAGTCAGTAATCAAGTTAAAATTGTGTCTAAAATAAGATGGCTCTGAAGGAGGACCTGAGACTATCCTAAGACTGTCCAGAAGTTTTTTTTTTTTTTTATTACCTGGCTCTTATCTCTAAATAGACACATACTGAACTAAATATTTTTGTGCATAGTTTCCCTAGTCTAGATATTTTTACAAATTTTTTAAGCCAACTGGGTAGTGCAGAGACACTTCACAGAAAACTTCCAGTAATATCACTACCTGCAGACCCATGACTTTGTCATTCAGTCATTTTTCAGTTGTGTCTAATTCTTTGTGACCCCTTTTGGGGTTTTCTTGGCAAAGATACTGGAGTGGTTTGCCATTTCCTTTTCCAGCTCCTTTTATAGATGAGGAAATTGAGGCAAACAGGGTTAAGTGACTTTCCCAGGTCATACAGCTAGTAAGTGTCTGAGGACAGCTTTGAACTTGGGAGACTCATCTCCTTAACTCCAGGACTATGCACTGTGTCACCTCATGCTGAATCTATTTCAAGTGTTTTCACATGAAATCCATGCATGTGGTCCCTTCCTTCTCCACTAGCAAATGAAAATGGGTGGGGGATATTGGAGCAGGGGGGAGAGGACTTCATGGGGAACAATCTTCACTTTGGCATCTATTTTCTCATTCTGTCCCATATTCATTTTGGCACAGAATTTTTTATGCTTTTCATAGATCATACTAAGAATACCACAGCTCCTTAAAAATGTACAAAATGTCATAGACTTTTGTTCCTTCTTTTGACTCCAACTGCATAGCAAGACTTCACTCTATGTTAACTCCTTTTTCTGTTGACAGCTCCTTAAATTCTCAGAAGCTATCAAATCATGAATAGCCCAGGAAAAAAACTAAGCTGTTGCAGTCTCACAACTGTCTTGACTGTTGTAATGGTTGTATTTATCTGTTCCTTGGCCAACTAGCCATAAAACCCCTTACATGATTTACATTAATTGTTTCTCTTCTGTTATGCACAGCACTGGATTCCAAGAACGTCTCCATTTGTAGAAGTTGAACAGTGAAAGGGAAACTCAGTGTTGGTAATGTTTTGTCTTTTGTACAGACACAGAACAGCTGATGTGTATTTGCAGAACTTTTAAGCTCACAGACCACTTTATGTAGGTTATGTAAATTGATTGACAACTATCCTCAGGCTAGTCCAATTTATTTTTATTAGCACTAATATAGCCAGTACTATGCTTGTAAATATAATTTACACACACACACAGAATTGTCGTTCTTCACCCTTAGCTTAACAACTATACTGATGAAAGTATAAATGGGGGCATGACGAATCCATGCCAAGTAAAGTATTAATGCAGCCTTTATAAAAAGGGCAGTGTGTATGGTTAAAAGAGTAATGGATTTGGAGTCAGAGGGCCCTGTGGTTAAATTTCACCTCTGCCACTTACCTGTATTTGACCTTTGGGCAAGTCACTCCTGTGCCTCAGTTTCCTCATCTGCAAAACAAGGTGGCTAGACTAAATGGCCTCTAGGTAATTTTTCATTCTAAATCTATGATATATGATGTGATCCATACTATAATTTGGCAAGGTCGCATTATGAAACTATGTTCATGCAACACTTCCCCCATCATTTACAGAACAAATGCATTTTCTATTACTAAAATCTCCTCGCCACAGCTTTAACTGCAATTATTTAAATG